GCGCCGCTGCCCTTCTTGTCCGCCGCCGGGGCCGCTGCGCTTGGCTCGGCTGGAGCCTGCGCCGCGGGCTTCCGCTGCCGCAGGTCGCCGCCAGGCTTCGCGCCCTTGCCGCCAGCCTTTGCAGGTGCAGCGGGGTGCGGGACGGCCACCGCGCCGCCGCCGTGCTTGCCGCTGGGGCTACCGGGCGCCTGGGCGCCCTGCTGCTTGGGCAGGGCCGATGCCGCCTCCTTGGCGAGCGCCACCAAGCTGGCCATGGTGGGCGTGCCGCTGTCGTTGGGGATCAGGCTCGGGTGCGAGAGGCTGGCCTGCGGGCTCAGCGCCATGCTGGGGCTGCCTGACGAGAGCTGCCGCGAGCCCGTGTCCAGCGGCGGCAGCGGCGGCAGCGGCGACAGCGCCCCGCTGCCCGGCGACGCGCCCCCGCGGCGCGCCTGCAGCGCCTGCTGCTGCAGCTGCTTCTGCGCGCGGTCGCGCTCCGCCTCGGCGCGCCGCAGGCAGTCCTGCAGTTGAGTCAGCAGCGCGTGCACCTGAGCATTCGCGGCCTCCCCCTCGCGCTGCTTTGCCTCTGCCACGTGCAGCTTCTGCGTGGTCAGCAGCAGCCGGTCAACCAGGCCGTCCCGCTCCTCCAACAGCACGGCCACCTGCTCAGCGTAATCCGACCGCGCCTCCACGTCGCCGCCGCCGTCGCCGCCGCCCGCGCCAGCTGAGCTGCTCGCACGGCGGCTCGAGTCAGGGTTCCAGCCAGCCAGCGACACCTCGCCCTCCCGCGGTGACCGTGACGGCGGGCCTGGGTAGGGCGCGGACGGCGACGGGGCGCGTGGCGCTGCCGCGGCGGGCGGCGGGGCGCGCGCGGCCCAGGTTGTGGCATCGCCGGCCCCTTCGCTGGGGTCTGTCAGGGCCAAGTCTTCGTCCAAGTCGAGCGGCGGCAGCTCCATGCCCATCGACTCTGCAGAACGGTGGTCCGAAGCGCAACGAAGAGGGTTGCGGAGCGATGAGGGTTTGGCCAGCGGCAACGGGGCATCTAGCTTGTGCTCGAGGCGGGCGGGCAGCCGCTGCGCGCATCGAGGCAAGCGCCTCGGCGCCTCGCTCGAGGCGGGCGGGCGGCTGCTGCGCGCATCGAGGCGAGCGCATCAACGCCGTCGCCGCCTCGCCCGGCACCTTAAGGCATGCAGGCCTCCTGCCTCGCCCAATTTCTATTGCGTCTACGCACGATCCCCCATCTGCCGCACCTGCAAGTTGGCGCACTGCTGCATGGCGGCCCGATCTGTCCTCAGGGACCTGCTGCGCCATGGCGCCGCTATCTGTCTGCTCTACGAGGCGCTGGGTCCGCTATCTGCCTCTAGTTGTGAAGAAGCATCCAGTCGCAGGCCAGCTTCCTGGGACGAGGGCAAGGGACAGGCCGGGGTTGTGCGGGCACTGCCCGCGGTGCCGCGCACTGCCGTGCAGACGGCGTTGGCGCAGCATTCGCAAGGCGCACACGTGAAGCACCGCCGCTCTGCACGGCTATGGTGCTCGGGAGTAAGACTTCTACCACTTCAAAGAGCCTGTCACGAGCACACAGCGCCATGCGCTGGCTACACTCACGTTCTGCTGAGGCCGGTGGTGGTCCTGCTTGTGACGATGGCCGGGACCTCACTTTTCAGAGTTATCACCACCTCAAGCTTTGATCGCATGCACAGCTACTACTGACGCGTGCTGCATAGACACATCCCGCTGCAGCATCGATGGATTCAAATAAGTCCATCAGCGCCGTATGTAGCAGTGTGTACTTATGCCTCACGCGGTGGCCTTGAACCGCAAGGTACGGGCGACGCCTAGGAGGAAGTGAGACAGGGTCACCAGGCGCAGCACCCACAAAGAGGTAGACTCTCGCACGCAACCGGTTAACAATGAGCAAGTAACTTACAGCTCGTACAGGACAACGGTCGGAGTCACTCACATCATAATCAAGACGACCGATCTTGACATTCATCATCAATGCAGCGTCGTCTCCGCGCCCCGAGTGGCGCGGTAGGATCAAAGGAATCGTGTCGCTGTGTGAGGGGCGTGTCAGCCCGTGGAGGGCGACGTGCAGCCAGGGCCATGGCGCAGGCAGCAGCCACGGAGCAGCAGCAACAGCAGCAGCAGGCGCCTAGCGCCGTCACATTTGTGCGCAAGCACCTCTTAGACGTGCCTCCTTACACGCCCATTGAGCCTTTTGAGGTCCTGTCGGCCCGGTATGGAAGGACGCCACAGGAGATCGTCAAGCTCGACGCCAATGAAAATCCCTATGGGCCACCTCCAGAGGTCCGAAAGGCTCTCGCAGACATGCAGTGGCCACACATATATCCGGACCCAGAGACTCGGCAGTTGCGCAAGGCCCTGTCGGAGCTCAGCGGCGTGCCGGAGGAGTACTTGCTGGTGGGCGCGTCGCGGCCGCGGCTTGCGTGGCGCTGGGTCGGCGGCTGCCGGCGCAGCTGGCCCCGCCAGAGTTAATGCACTTTACATGTGGGCTCAAAATTACTGGTGCTTACCCGCAGCAGGAACCAATTCACATTGCGGCGTTGCTGCACAAATCCCACGGTTGCCGCGCTGCTCCCGTCCGCGGGCCCACCGCCCCCGCGCCCCGCCGCCGCGCGCAGGTCGGCTGCGGCGCCGACGAGCTGATAGACCTGCTGATGCGCTGCACGCTGGACCCCGGGGACAAGATCATCGACTGCCCGCCCACCTTCACCATGTATGTGTTTGACGCGGACATCAACGATGCTCGCACTATCACTGTGCCGCGGCTGGAGGGCTTCCGCAACGATGTGGAGGGCATCAGGTGTGTTTGTGTGTGTGTAGGGGGGGTTGAAGTGGGGGGCCAGAGCAAGGAGGCTGGTGCGGGCAGAGGCTACCGGGGTCGCGCGGCTGGCGTGTTTGCAGCACGCGAAGCTGCCGGCCTGGGTCATCTGCATCATTGTGGGAGTCGATAGGAGGCCCAGTGAACGGGCGAGGGATGAGCCAACCACCCAGGTGGCCGTGCCTGAGCAGTGGCGCCGCTGTGCCGGGCGAAGCAGCAGCTGCAGCTGAGGGCCAGCGGCGGAGGCCTGGACGCAGACCGCCGCGCCGCCTGGACGCAACGCCAGCTCAGCGCCACCCCGCCCCCTCCGCCTCTCTCTCACACCCACACCCCCCCCAAACAGGCGCGCCGTCGCGGAGCACCGCCCCAAGCTGCTGTTCCTCACGAGCCCCAACAACCCCGACGGCAGCATGATCCCTGAGGAGGACCTGCTGGCGCTGCTGGAGCTGCCCGTGCTCGTCGTGCTGGACGAGGCCTACATTGAGTTCGCCGACGAGCCCTCGCGCGTACAGTGAGCAGCGGCGGGGCCCCCCCCTGCCGCGCCGCGGCGGGCGCCGCCGGCTTGCGCGCCGAAAGCGCGCTCGAGGGCCGGTGGAGGGACGGCGGCGACGGCGGCGGCGTCCAGCGCACGCGTGTGCTGTTTCTGCCGAATGGGGCGAGGCTGACGGCAGGACATCTGCGCGCTGCCGGTTTCGCCCTCCTCTCACTCCGCCCCGCCTCTATTTTGGTCGCCTGCCCCACCCCAGGTGGGTCCAGCGGTACCCCAACTTGGTGGTGCTGCGGACGTTCAGCAAGTGCGCCGCGCTGGCGGGCATGCGCGTCGGCTGGGGCGCCTTCCCCCTGGACCTGGCGCAGGTGGGGGCGGCCCGGGGTTGTGTATAACTCATGCCTGCGACTGCGAAGCCCGTGTTTTTGAGCCGCACAACACCGCAGCGAACGCCACGCTTGGCCTCGCAGCTATCGTCGCTGCGCGAGCCCGCTCTTCTCTTCTTCGCTGGCTCTGACAGCCGCTTGTGGACAGCTGCCTGTGGCCACGGCTCGTCCTGAGCACGCTCAGCAGCAAAGCTTACTATGGCTTGTGCTTGCGCCCGGCCCCCCGCCCTGCAGTACCTGTGGCGGGCCAAGCAGCCGTACAACGTGAGCGTGGCGGCCGAGACGGCGGCCTGCGCGGCGCTGACCAACATGCCCTACCTCGACATGGTGCGCCTGGGCTGGGGTTTTGGGCCCGGTCTAGTTTGGGTTGTGTTCTTTGGACTTGTTTTCCTGGAAGGTGTTGGTGGGGGTCTCATCTTGAAATGTGTGGTCAGGGTGCGGGAAGTGGGCAGCAGTGGCCGCGAGGCGCCTGCTGTTGCATTTCGTACTCACGGACGCACACAAGTGCACGCACTTGCACGCGCGACACACACACACACACACACACACACACACACACACACACACACACACACACACACACACAC